TTTCCCTACCCCCCGGGGAGACCCCCTCCTTTCCTCTGCAGCACTTTAACCCTCTCTTCCCCATTCCTTCCAGGGTGGGGGACACCCCTGCAGCCTGGTAGAATTGGGAAGCTGGAGGGAAGGGTGGTCCGAGCACCCCCTCATTCCCCCGTGTGATTCTCTTGGTTATTTATGTTGTGGTTAGGGTGGGCCATTCTCCTCTCCCCTTTCCCTCCTTCCTCCCCATCCAAACTCAAGCTCCAGAACGCTTTTGTCCCCTGCTAAAGGAGGGGAGCCCGGAGGGAGGAGAGGTTCTAGACTTTCAGTGGGACACGCAGAAGTGGAGCAGGAAGAGGAGCAGGGCTTGAAACAAGAAAACAAGTTTCCCACTGCCTTGGACCCTCCTTCTATCGCTGAATTCTCACCGCAGAGCCCTGGATAAAGGAGGTTCTGTCTTGACCTCTCCAGAACAAAGGATGCACACACACACCCCCAGCCTCACTCACCTCTCTCACCACAGACTTGGCCTTCCAGAGAGGGGACACAAAAGATCATGCCCACATGTGATGAGAGGAGGGGACGCAGGGCCCTGCCTCTAGACTTAGGGCCCGTCCTGTCCTGATTGCTCACCAAGACTGCCAAGTGGGGGCCCCCGTGTTTGCTCCTTTTGTCATCCTGGAAGGGTGCTGTCCCCACAGGCTTCTGACCAACTAAGGGAAAGGGACGTGAAAGCCTGCCTGTAAACACTGGGCTGGGAGGAGCCTTTGGGTATTTTTGTATATGTTTGAAAAAGGGGTAGGGAGAAGAAACCAAAGGTCTGTTGTACTGAATGTACGTACGTATGTATAGACATAGGTGTGTCTATAAAGTCACTGTATGACGATGAGGTGTCCTGTCGTGGAGACACTCCAGGAGGACCAAGACAGGAGCCGTAACCTTCTTCTGGCTCCCTCCTGCCTCAGCTCAAGGCCTCAGAATCCTCTGGATGCTGTCACTCATGCTCCCACTTACATTTCTATACCTTTTTTTTTGGTAGCGGTTTTTGCCATAGTGCGTGTGCACTCGCTAGAGACAGACAGAGAGAAAGTGAGAAATCACCCCCTGGGGTGGGGGGAGGGAAGGCCATGCCACAATCCCTTCTCCATGTTTCTCCTGGGATCTTGGGCACATGCTCAGTGTGATTTTTTTTTTTTGAGAGTTTTTTGCGATAGGGCGCATGCACTCGCCAGAGAGAGACAGAGACAGAAAGAGAGCAAGAAATCATCGCCCAGGGGGGATGGCCACACCGCAATCCCTTCTCCTCCATTCTCCTCTTGGGATCTTGGGCACGCAAGCACACGCGCCCGGCGTGAGTTTTAAGCCACCGGGTCCGGGACACAGACCGTGGTCGACTACGTGGGAGTCCAGTGACACAGCCATTACGCTAACTGCTGGTCCCTGCTCAGTGTGATTTTCAAGCCATTGGGTCTGGGACTCAAACCGCAGTCGGTCACATGGGAGTCTATCGACATAACCACTACACCATCTGCTGGCCCCTACATTGCCTTTTTAAAATAATAGTAAATGCTCAATAAATGTAGCGGCAAGGGCCAGGCACTGTTCTTGGCACTCCACAAGGCTGTAAAGAGGCATTAGCCCCGTTTTACAGATGGGGACAGCGCGTCACAGTGAGAACAGCACTAGCTCAGAGCTACGTAGCTGGAAGCGCCAGCCGGGCTCCCAGAGCAGGCCTCGCCCGTGTCCCTCTTCCCCGTTGAGTTACCTGTGAGTCCCTGGACAGAAACGAAGTAAGAAGCAACAGGAGAGCCTGTTTTTGTTTTTACTCGAGGCTCAGGTGGCACATGACAGTTCATAAACTGGCTTCGGAGGTAGGGAGGAAGGGGGATGAAAAATAAACTGGGGTGGGAAAGAAAACAACCAGGAGGAGGTAAGTGCTGGCTGGTTCCTTCTCAGCCTGATTTAGGGGAGGGAGCTGGTGCCTCTGAACAGTAAGAATGGATCCCTTCTCTTGGCCCTTGGTAGGGGATAGGAAAAAGCAAAGGTGGTTGCTTTGGCCCTCCTGAGTCTCAAGGAAAAGGGGGAAAGCTGGTGTTTTGATGTCATGAATTATGGGAAAGGAGGGAGGGGTGCTGGGTTAGGGTACAGGTCAGTTGGAAAAACTGGCAGATACCTGAAGGAGAGAGAAATGGACAAATGAATAACAGCAAGTGACCACCGCGTCCCAGCTCCCACCTTCTCCCACTCACCGGGTGGTAGCCCTGGGTGTCCTTTTTAGTTGGAATCACTCCAGTATGGTGGTGGTGGGGTCCCCACTGTTGATGGGGGCTGAGGTCTACAGACAACAGGTGGCCAGCTGAGACTCATCCTTTAGAGTCCCAACCTCAGCCTTCTCAACCTGTCCCCTCCCTCATTTCTCCCCAGCCGCTCCCCCAGTTCAATCCACAAGCTGATGCTGAGGCTCCAAGCAGAGCTGAGGGGCGTGACATGGGCTGGATGGCCTCTGCTGGGCTTTCCTGCCGAAGGGGGACGCCTGCCAGGGGTGGACCCACAGGCTGTGTGGAGGGGGTGGGGAGGGAGAAGGGAGGGGAGGAATAGAAGGGTACAAGTAAGAAGGGAAGGAAAAAGAAAAGGACAGGAGAGGGAGTAGGAGAGAGGGGACAAGGGAGGAGAGGGGGACAAGGGAGGAGAGGGGGAGGGGGGGAAGGGAAAGGGGGAGAAGAGAGGGGAGAGGAAGTAGGGGGGAAGAGGGGAGAACAGAAGAAGAAGCTGGTCCTGGACCTTTCTTTCATCATGTCCCACAAGCTAGAACATCCCGAGGTCCTCACCTCTGGGGCTGTGGGCTGCCGTGGGCCAGGAGGCTGCTGCCGGCGCCGCTGGAAGTAGGGGCGGTTTCGCGGGCGCTGGGGCTCAGGCCGGGAGCCATCAGTGGGGCCTTGGCTGGGTTTGGTCTCACCATCCCCACCTTCTGTGGTAGGTTGCTGGGGTGGCCGGGGGCGGAAAGGCCTAGACAAAGAAGCAGGCACCCTGAAAAGACCACGAGGGACTGCCTGCCCTCCTCCCCCAGTGTCCCCGTCACCATCTCTGGGAGCCAAACCTCCAGCCTCAGGGCTGTTTGTTCCCCCTGGGCACCCGAGCAATGACCACCCCAGACCCAGCCCTCCTCGCCAGGACAGCTCAGCTCTTAGAACTCTGGCTTCCTGCCCTCCTGCCCTCTTCCTCATGGGCCCAACACTGGATGAGGGGGAAGACGGAGCCCCAGAAAGGGGGTCTTACCTTCGGTACCTGGGTCGGAATCTGGGTGGGGGGACGCGCTCATCTCCCTGCTGTTGGTCCCCCTCCAGTGGGGCTGTCTCTTTGGGTTCTACCCCATCGGTGCCCTGGGAACACATGGAGGCCCAGGTCAGCTGTGGGCACCAGGGGATCCACAGCTCTCCCCCACCCTGGGTTCCACTTCTTTTGGGGACTCTGTGGCCTCCTTTTCCAGAGCGCGGTGAACGACTCACTGTCCTGGTGTCCCTCACCTCTATGGGCTGCTGCTGGTTGCAGGGCCGCGGGCCTCGCACAAACCGCCGGCGGTAGAAGAAGGGCGGTGGGCGCCGTCGTCTGGGCCGCTGCCCGGAGTCTTCAGCCCGCTCCCCTTCGCTGCTGGGTTCTGTCCCACCTGAGGGAGCCTCTGCCACCATGGGTGGGGGGGCAGCTGGGCGAGGCCGGGGTATGAATCGGCGGAATCGACGTCGATTGGGGGCATAGCGGCTGCCTTTCACTGGCACCCCCCCAGGCCCAGTGACATTAGCAGCCTCTGCACCCTGGGAAGGGGGAAAGGAGACAGAACTTGCTGGACCACAAAGGCACATTTGCAAGTCCCCTCGAATGGTGCAGTCGTCCCCCGCTCCCCTTTCCCCCTCCTCAGTTTAGCTCCTCTGTCTTCTGCTTCTTTCTACCCTCCCCTAGGGGGAAGTGGGATATTTTTACCCATCTGGAAAACATCTTGTCTTTTTTTTAGGGGATCACACCCTGTTCTCCACACTTTGTCCTTTTAAAATAGCTACTACTACACCCTCCTGAGTTTAAGACTGGAGGCAGGAGTGGAAGAAGGGCTGGCAACAACCATGCTTTTTTTTTTTTTTTTTTTGAGAGGTTTTTGCTATAGGGCACGTGCGCTCACCAGACAGACAGAAAGAGACAGAGACAGAGACAGAAAGCGAGAAATCACCCCCCAGGGGGGCCTTCAACACCACAATCCCTTCTCCTCCATTCTCCTCTCAGGATCTTGGGCACGCACACACACGCTCCCGGTGTGAGTTTTAAGCCACCGGGTCCGGGACTTGAACCACGGTCGACTACATGGGAGTCCAGCGACATAGCCATTACGCTAACTGCTGGTTCCCAACCACCATGCATCTTTTACTCAAGAGAACCAAGTCTGAGAAAAGTCCTGGGGGCAGGCATCCATTTGGCGAACAGACATCTACGTGCTTAGGGAATGAGAGAAGAAGCCGGGACGTGAACAACTAGCGACAGGGACATATTCCTTACCACGTCCCTTAGAGCAGCCCTAGCACGAAGACACAGCTGGGTGAGAGTCCTATTCCCACAGCCTGAGCTAAAGGCCAGAGGAACAGCTGGCCCCAGGACGATCAAGGCCTGGGATGACCCCCAGGCCACCTCCCACAGTAGCCCCCAGACCTTCTCTCCTTCCACGACATCAAACTCCACAGTCTCCCCATCTCCAACGCTGCGTAGAAACTTCCTGGGGTTGTTCCTTTTAATGGCTGTCTGATTGGGATAAAGGCCATGAGAGAGGTGAGGGCAGCAAGACGGCAGTTCTCGCCCCTGCTGAGCCCACCTCCCGATTTCATTCATTTCAGCATTTTACTTGGGATCCAGGGCTGGAGGATGGAGCGAGGAGGTGGTTAAAGTTTAGTAGGGGAGAAGTCATAAGCAACTGGGGGGCCTCTGGTGATTGTGCAGTTACCACTGTCCCCAGAACATACTCCCCTCCCCCCCCTTTCCCCTGGGGATTTCAAAAAGGGAGGCAAGAAATATGAACTCAAAAGCAAAACAAAAAGCAGAGAAGGTCTTCAGTTGCAAAGTGGGTAAAATGTACTGTGCTTCTTACCTCAATCCCACTGAGCACTTTCCACCAAAGCAGTGGCTCTCAAACTACAGGGCGCATCAGAATCACCTGGAGAGCTCGTTAAGGCAGGCTGCTGGGCCTCGGCCCCAAGTCTGATTCAGTAGCTTTGGGATGGGGCCCGAGACCTGAGGCCAGGTGATGGTGATGCCGCTGCTGCCCTGCTGCAGGGACCACGCTTTGAGAACCACTGCATCCCAAGTATCTCTAGCCTGAATCCTCTCCCTCTCGAAATTGCTGGATTCGTTTCTATAGCATTAGCAGTTCCAGGAGGTGGCGAGCATCCCAGGCCTAGAGAGCAGTGTGCACCAATCTGAATAACCCAACCCAAGTGGGGCCAAAGGTGGTTGTACAGACACCTGGGGCAGACAGGCGGGAATAGGAGGATCACCTCTTGGTGGGCAGGCCATTGTGAGCTAAAAGCCGAAGAAACATGGTGGGTGAGGGGGCATCTGCTGAGGACTGCAAAGGCCTTCAAAGAGAAGCCCGTTCCTCCCCTTAGAAAGCCAACCTAGCTCTTACCTGGTGAACAAAGACATCCTCCTTGGTGTCATTCCTGCAGAACAGGATGGGTCATTAGGGGGGACCCTGGTAAGGCGCTCAGCTGCACTGCGGCCTCCCTCACTGCCCATTCCTAACATCAGTGGGCCCATCCTCGGTCCATGGAAACTTGGGGGGTCAACAGGGCCCAGGGAGTGAGAGGCAAGAGCTAGTGGGGCCCCCAAAAGCTAGTGTAAAGAGACATACCTCTAAAGCCTCAGTGAAACACCTGGACTTCACGAGGAAAGGGTGGAGGGGAAGGGAAAGGCACCTTGAAGGAACTGGGACCGCTCTTTACCTGCCAGAGTGCTCCACCTTCCACCCCGGGGCACCTTGGAACCTGCAGGTGCTGGGTGCAACTGCCCCTGGCCAACACCCCCTCCTCTCCCAGCCCCCATTGGGGCTGGAAAATTCCACTGTCTCCTTCCTTCTACACCCAAGGAGAGAGAAAGTGGGGGTGGGGCCAGAGGTGTAGCACAGGTTTGAGAAAGGAACAAGGCGTCAGGAACTTGCTTCAAATAGACACAAAATCTTATCGTTACTCTCAGCCTGGAGGTGAACCCCAGGGTCAGGCCTCCTGTCAACATAGAGGGACATTTTCACCCATTCGTGATCACCACCTCGCCTACTACCCTGATTTATCCTACACCCTCAGTGGTGGTTGGTGGGGAGGAGAGGAAGAGTGGTTTTTCCTAGAGGAGAGCCCCCCCACTCAGGGGTCCTCTATTTCCAAAATTAGAGAGGGAACCCTTCCCCAGGACAAATGTTCTAGCTTTGGATCTGCACAAAGGTCAGCCTGCTAAGAGGGAACTAGGGCCTCCCAGGAGGGTTGGGCTGGGCAAGGTGCCCATGCTGGGGAAGGGCCGACTGGGGGAGACCAGACTCCGCTCAGAAGCCACCACTACAGCCTCTCCCAGAGCTGAGAGGGGTGCTGCTGCCAAGTGAAGGAAAGCAGCAGGGGTGGCTGGGCCAGTTCATCCCGCCCCCACCCCCTACCCCCTCAGGCCCATCAGGTGGGGGGTTTAAATAAGCCACAGCCCTTCCTGGGAGATGAGTCGTGAGAATGCTATGAGTGCTGTCCATAACAGGAAATCCGAGAGGACTCCAGCCCTGAGCCCTGTATATTCTGCCCCAAAGGCATGGCAATTCCAGAAGGTGAGACAGGCGGCCAAGAGGGTCAGAGTCAGGTTTGCCAAGTTCCCGGATCATTAATCCTCTGCTGCCTTTGAAGACGTGGAGGCAGCTTCATCTTCCACTAAGCACACAGTGGTGCTGCGGATAAAGACTTTCAACCAGTGTCAGCTGGACATTGCAACCATGTGCCTCGCAGGGGTAGAGATGAGGCTGGGAAGGTGTCCTGTCCCACAGGCCCATTCTGAAGACACCCACTCCACCCATCTCTGGGTTCCTAGATACCTGTTGATGAATCCGTAACCATTCCGGACGTTGAACCATTTGACAGTGCCCAGGACTTGGATTGCTGCCGGGCAGAGATGCAGTGGGGACAGTAAGATGAAGGGAAGAGACGGAGTGGGACTCAGTTTTGAGACACTCCGAGAAATCTAACCTACCTATTACCTCTTAAGCTTACCTTCAAGCCAACCAGGTTTCACCCAGTAGCTTCAAGGTATTCTTCCCCCAGTTTTACCAAATAGAAAAACACAAGCTCAGGGTTTCCAAACTCTTCCAAATCTAAGGAATGTTCCCCACATCCTACAAAACTTAGCTCTTCACCTACAACCGGGTACTCACCTGGTCCATGAAGTACCACCCTCAGGTCATAACTGGGGGCTTTCCTAGCCCTCCCAGTGTCAGGGTTCCCAATGCACCTGCTTCCCAGGCTCAGAGCCTTTACCTAGAACTAACTGGGGTCAGCAAGGCCAAGTCTCCCGCCCCGGAGGCGTGGCCGGGCTTTATTCTCCACCCTAAGGCCTAGGCTGGAGGGCCGGCCCCGCCCCCCTAGCTTGGCAGGCACGGCAGCTTATCCCACCAGGGGAATCCACTTTGGTCCCGCAGCTCCCAGCCCTGTTAGTTCTTTGAGCCTCCAGGCCGATCAGCCTTCTGCTTTCTGGACTCTGCCGAACTCCACACTGCCCCTCCCCCAGCCCTCCGACCCCTTAGAGCCGTCCTCGCGCGCGCCCTCCCCTCACCCAGCACCGGCTTGTCCGCCTGACTCCGGGCCGGGGGCGCGGGGGTCCCCG